AAAGAGTGAAATAGTGCAAGAGTGAGTGAGAAGCTGGGGGCCAGAAACTAAGAGGAATGGAAAAAAATGGTGTTTTTTGAAAGTTCATCTTTTGAGACACAAATAATTATGTCAGTTAATACACTTAACTAGGGTATAATATGCAAGGGATGACTGGTTACGGACAACATTTTCTTTCTTTTCCCCTACAAAGATGATGGGAGGAGATCAGCAACTTTTTCTGGAAGCTGTATACAAGACTTTATCATGCAAGAGATATGTTTTCTCCAGGAAAAATGCTAATTTTGCCAATTAGGAACAAATCCTTCTTTTCTGAATCCCCAGTAGCGTCAACTGCTCTGAACAGGAAAGCAGAATCTGGCTATATATTAACTGCCAATTCACGTTATTTTACAATACTGACTATAATTTATTACTGCATTTATTTATTATTTTATTATATTTGTAATTGGCTAATTCTAAATTCACCAGAGAAGAAGTGTTAAAAAAGATGTTTACACTTGTGTGAGTAGAAACACACAGAAACACAGACACACACACACAAATAACCAGCCCAAGTTAAAAAAAAGCAGTCCATCAAAAGCCCTCTACATTATTATGGTAATAAATCGGCACTATACGTTCTGTTCCTGCAGCCTCTGGATTAGGAAGCTGGACAATCACTTGAAAAAGGAAAAACAAGAGGCCCAAACGGATAATCTTGTTAGACACATACCCACAACTTTCTTCAGTTTCCAGATGGCCTGACAAATCTCCTTGGCAGCTGCAATTTGAGCTTTTTCCCCGAGAAGGCCTCCTACTGTAGCTCGAAGGATAAACGAAACACAGCGGCGACAACCGATAGCATCCATCTGACTCTGAATAGCCTTAGGGTGAGACGGAGACACCAGATCTAGAATATGGGAAAGGAAGGCAGAGAAGTTCCTTTCAAGCCATTGTGCTCCTAATGTAGAGACAAATACCACATACGCCTGGAAGAGATTTGAAAAGAAGCCGTATTTTAGAGCAAAATCATCTGGAAAACCACTGCCAGCTATCCCACATACATCTCTTCTTTTAAATCTCTGCATGTTGCCATAACAAGAATGTCACTAAACTGAGGCTACTTACACACCTACACATCCCTAAGTCAGGTATATTCTCACTTTCAGGTAGCCACTTTTTTTCTTTTTTGGATCTATTTAAGTGATTTAAATTGCTATCAAAATTGTACTAGCAATATTGCAGCCTGCTTTGACTGTAAGTTAATTCAAGCTGCTTGCCCACGTTATTTCATTCCAGAGTGTGAGAAATGGCAGCTCACCCTGCCCAGGCACTTGTTATGTAAAACATTGTGTTTGGTCTCATTGAACAACAGCTTCCAGCTATTTAACATTCTGCACAAGGAACCCAAATTTAATGTATGAATGCATTTTAAAGACTACTATGTTACAAAACTATAACCCATAACCCTGAGAGAACTTTGTTATTACAGGCTTTGAATTAGGGAATATTTGCAGACCCCAAGCACTGCTCTTTATCTCAATGAATTTTAATTGTTTGCCTTGCAGTGGAGCTACCACAAAAAGACTATGTTTGTCACAGCAAAGAGAAAGAATGCAGAGTCACTTTACAAATCTAATCACCACAAAACCACTTGTTTTGCCACATAATGTGCTCCCTTACAAAGGCCTTCCATATGCATGTGTTGATTTTTTTTTAATGAATAGATTTTTTTTCCTTCAAGAAAAGGGAATACAAAAAATGAGAATATGCAAACGAACACACAAAATTTCTCATAAGAAAGTTCACAAGTACTACTCTTAGCAATGAACTTCTCCATTTGCCTCATACATACTTTGTCTCATGCCTAGTATCAACAATTAAATTATTCATGTCAAAGAAAACTAAGCGCTGTAGACAGAGAAATTCCACTGTTAGATCCTGTTAACACCTAACAGCTCTTGACAAATACTACTTGGGCTTCATAAGGTACCAGTATGTTATCCCTGCTCTCGGACTTGAAAACTGAGGAATTTAACAGGAGAAATAGACTTGTGGAGAGTCTATATTTTGAACCACATCTTGAACCTGGCTGTGCCTTGAACAAATATAAATTCTTCTTTCATATGTAAGAACTAATCTTCAGTGTTTTTCTTGGTTTTTAATTTATAAGCTGCAAATCACATCATAATTAATACATTTTATAACCACAGGTGTTTTCTACTCACAGGCACCGATATATTCACAATTTCTCAAATTTTTCTTACAGAAACACTGCACTACTTTAACTGTCCTGGTACAGTTAGAGTGTTCCATCGAGCACAGGTACTATTGTGGTAACATCGAAATGCATGAAAAAAGGAGATAAGCTCCACAAAACAGTACAAATAATCAAAACACTGAACCAAAATATCTATTCTTGGAAAACTAATAAAACCACCATGTCTACAGAACACCCTAGGAGTCTGGCATGCATTTCTTAGGCAAATAGCTGTCAAGGTATTATTGCTGCCCAGCTTTTCTGTCTCTCTGCCAGAAGTTAATGCTTGCACCCAGCATGATACGAGCATAGAAGACAATTTGTGAGCACCTTCTAGCTGTTTCACTGCAAAGTCTGGCAGCTTCTATCAGTAATACAAGCTAATTTACAGGGTTTTTTGCACTGCAGAAGCTGAAACGCACTGAAAAATTCCCTTACTGGCAAAGGGGACGTATCAAATAGACATGGGGACTACAAAATATTAAAATAGTCAGAGATCTTTGATAGGTAAATGTTCAACATGATCTTTAATCTTGATTCACAGGTTTAACATTTGAATACCAAGGTCTCAGCATGTAAATACTATTTACAATAATATTTACAGGAAGAAGTCAGTCTGATAATATTTGAAAAATTTAGTTTTTCCTATCATATGCACTATATGGTGCGACTTCAGTCCTGTTCACTTAATAAGATTCTATCCTCTAACTGAGCATCCTGGAACACAGCAAAACAAGTATTTGTGAGTTTTTTCCACTAAATTCTGTTATTTTTCATGCACTTACTCAGAACCATTCTTTCAGAACAGGACCAGGAATATGCCTATATAGAAGAAAACTATTCCAAGTTCAAAGAATTCTTGTAACTTCTCCCTTTCATTTTTGGACATAAGGTATTAAGTTTTAAATTACAAATTTGAGCAAAATACTTACTTATATCACTTACTTGAAATTCATATCACATGAATCTTTCACAGATAAGACATACTTAGTTTTGAAAATTTCAAACTACCAGGTAAACAATAAGCAAGATCAGAAATATGTTTTCTTTCTACCATAACTCAGGACCTAAATCCTTAAAGCATGTAGATTTCATCACAGATATAAAAAAGGGTGAAATAAGAGATATAGGGAGAGCAAAACAGTTATTAAGGGATATTTAGCAATCTCAGAAAATTGTAACTAATGTAATCCAAACCTGAGTGACTCCAACTCTAACATCTCTGCTGACTGAACTGGTCCCTTTCAACATATCGCCACTGGCCCGGAGAAATCCAGAACTTCCACGCAGAAATCCAGTTCCCAAGAGCTCCATCACTTCTTCCAAAGAGATTCTGCGCATGTTATGCCTGGTGGATGCTAAGAACAGATGACAATTCTTAGCAGAACAGCTCTGTAAGACTTTAACCACTTTAGAAAAAAATGCAGTTTACACAAATTCAGTAGTGCAATCTCAACATATCGCCACTGGCCCGGAGAAATCCAGAACTTCCACGCAGAAATCCAGTTCCCAAGAGCTCCATCACTTCTTCCAAAGAGATTCTGCGCATGTTATGCCTGGTGGATGCTAAGAACAGATAACAGTTCTTAGCAGAACAGCTCTGTAAGACTTCAATCATTTTAGAAAAAAAATGCAGTTTACACAAATTCAGCAGTGCAATCAAATCCAAATACTGTTCGAGCATAATTTCACAACAGAAACTAAGACATTTTAGGACTCTGTGCTCCAGCAAACCTCATTTTTTCTCCATTTTTTCTGCTTCAACTATTTGCAAACAGTCTAGGCATTCACCTAATATATATACATAAATTTAACCTCCTTCAGTATTTACCATCTCTGCTATGCTCCCTTTGCAAAAAGGCCTCTATAGCCTACTCCTACCACCCTAAGCTGCATGAAAGCCACAACTTTAACTCATTCCATCTTACTGCCAAAGACGACTCTCTATCCCAAACTCCAGACAAGGCAAATTATCTTTCTGCTATGCTTAGCCAGATAAAGGCTCAGCTACACGTTCTCTTAGAAACAAAAGCATCTCACCTTCAGATTAAACTAGCTCTCTAATAGAGTAGGTTTACAATCTTCTAGGAAAATTATTCATCACTAATTCCTATGTTGTTATTTTCTTTCTTGATACAAAGTTCATTTAAAATACATGCTGGGACACACGCGTGCAAACTTAGCACAATGACTGCACACTGTGCAAATTCAGTGACCTAAAATTTGCGATGCATTTCTCATTCTTTTCCAAGTACTGAAATGGCAAAAGAAGTGACAGGATTTGACCTAATCACGTAAAAGAGAAAAAAATATAGAAAACCCTAACCCAATATCAGCAGTTACTGGATGCCATGCAGAAACTTCAGGAGTATGCGCTTCTTCACATGCCGCTCCCTTCACAACTCCTCTAGACCCCACCTAAGCTTCTGTCTCTCTCATTTCTTTTAAACTAAAAATAACTAAAAAAAGTAAAAATAATCAACAAAACAACGAATGAGCTTGTTGTGTAATCTTATTTTAGTAATTTAGAAATACAACTACATTGCTTACAAAGATAAAAAAACCCTACTCCATCTTCATAGATGAAGAGGTTAGAGCTTTTTTTTTTTTTTTACTTTATTGGGAACTCCTTCCAAAATATTCTTAGGAAAATACTTTATAAATCAAGACTTCAGAGTCTACAATGCAAATACACAGCCTCGAGAATTCCAAACAGCAGTAAACTGGGCTTAACTAAAGGCATGTAGTTTTGTCATTTTGTCTTCTCTGACACCATTCAAAGCAGAACAATCACATTTACTGTGCATCCTGTTATATTTTGCTTAGCTTACAGTTAGATATTTAAGCTTTGGGCTCCTAAGATTGGACTAAAAACACCCAGTCTGAACATCAGAGAAGACTGGAGATGTAAACTGTGTGCCAGGATGCTTCAGTTGATCAACTACTGCCTGTCACCAAAAAGCACTACGTGGCCTGTTGAGTGAACCAAATGGAATGCTTGTTTCTGATCCCATCTGTACTGCTACGCAATCCAGATGTGGTACTGATGATTGTGGAAAACAGACCGTAGATATCCTTAACTCTATAGCTTGACAAAGAGCCACTTCCTCAATTTGTGCTTTCTACACCGCCTAACATACCCTGCCTTTATATTCCTGAGGCTACTATTTTATCTCCATATAGTAACAATCTTATAACAGAGAAAAGTCGTTTTACTAAGTGTTCTTTCTTGTTTATTGTTTTATAAATATATAGAGAGTAACACAACCAAATCCATAGCAATTCACAAGAAAAATACTACAAAATCCACCAAACCGGAGATGTCAACAGCTACATAAAGCTTACAGTGTGATTTTACTTCAGGCTTCAGCAGAACTTGAGTTTCTTACCATCCGACAGATTTTTTCCAGTGAAGAATCAGGAAACAAAGTATATACTTTACCTGATGTCTGTTTAGATGTTAGAGCTCTAGCCAGCACTGTGCCTAAAAGTTTTGAAACTGCTAATCGCACATCGTAATTGGAACCTTCAAAGGATTTAAAACACAAGGTCACAACACTGTCCAGGTCTGTACTCCACATAAATACTGCTTCATTCTGAAGTTCAAGAAGACACTAGACAAAAAAGGGAAATAAAAACATATTGATGTGGAAAAGCACATCATCCATTAAACCAGAATTTTATTTAGGAAGCTTACTTAATAAAAACAGCTCTCGGAGCACTTTACCTTTGCAGCAGCACAGCGGACCGCCATGGATCGATCAGTCAGACATGACCGGGCAGCTTTGTAAATATCTCTATGACAGGGGATAGCAGCAGCTCCTAAACCATTTAATATATTTTGCAAACTAAGCATGATTTCATAACGACCTTGAGACTGAAAAATGAAAAAAAAAGAAATGTTACAGTTTTGTAACTCTAACCTCCTTTGAAATACAAAAAGCCAACTACTGAAATAGGTGAACAAGATCTTGGGTCTTTCAGACTTTTGGAGATGTATTTATGCTGAAGTGAGTTAAAGCAGATAACCAGATCTGTGACTCTGTATACAAGTGAAAACAGCAATTCTATGTTCTACTGGAAAGTACTCACTGGCAGCTTAAAACTCAAGACATGAAGTACAAGCTGGGGCAAAAATGTTTATCAAGTGCTTTCACAAAATCAGACTGAGAATAGCTATAAACTATCTTTTATAGTCGTAATCTATTAACACTAGTAATTCTTAGTAACTCAGATACTTGTTTTTATCCTATGAATTTCCACAATTTTTTCATCCACAATTTTGGCATCATGCACCTTTTCCTATTCACCGGGCCAGCTACCAACAGCAAACATCCTATTATTTTTCCCACCATTTTTTAAACATGCTGTTTCAATACCTCTGCATTCTTCATTGCTTTAAGCACATTCCCAACGGTGTCAGTAAAACTGTTTCCCAAAATTCTTCCCAATTTTTTGTACAAATAGCCCAAGCATACCACCGCAGCACTAAAACAAAAGCAAATCCAAAGACATGTGAAAATGGATGCAGTAACAGATGAAAGGGATTAAAACGACTAATGTAATCAATGGGAAAACAACAAAAAACCAAAATAGAATGTCCCAAAATATAAGCAGATTATCAAAAGGAAAAAAAAATAAATAAAGATGGTCTGTGTGGCACATACGCCCTAGGAGAAATGCAGATACGAAGGCTGTGAAATAACTTGGATAACACAAGAATTCAGGTAATACAACCTTCTAATGAATTGTACAATAGGAACATAATTTTCATATTCACTTTTAAACCTTAACATTAATTTCTAACTAACTATGCACTGCGTCACGCAGTCTATGGCGCTGCGCTATGGCAGATGCTGCAAGAATTAGCCAGAGACAGGTTTATTTACAACTCTGTGGTCAATAGTAGACTACAAATGATGTAGTAATTAAACTTACAGCATTTATATGTAACAATAAAGAAACACCATGAAGGAAATAAAAGTATAAGCCCATGTCCTTTTCATGGCATACAGATTCTGAATTTAGTTTCCAGGTGAAATACCTGACAACTGGACCCTGTGTGTTCATTGTCATTTCCTTCAGCTAAATACTGAAGAAAAAAAAAATAAAATAAAATTTGCCTAATTAAAGAGTATTTTCTCTGAATAATTAAGGAAAACACTTTGCCCTTGTATTGACAGATCTATAACTAAACCAATTAACTTCATGAAAACAAGGAAATCCAAATTTATATCTTTATTCAGCTTTTAGCTCTTTGGCTGAACCTACTTAAATATGCAGTAACATTGCTCAGCACCCCCTTCAGCAGAAAAACCCCCGCATTTTACTTAATCCTCTACTGAATTCAAGCTTCAGATAAAGAATTTTAAAATCTCATACTAAGATTTCAGAACACATTCTTAATTAGAAAAATGCATTTAATATTAGCAGTAATTCCCTAAATGACAAAACACAGCAAGAAAAACAAAACTGACATTCTTTATCTCTTACCATGCCAAAATCCTATTTTCATTAAAGCAACATTTTTCATTATTGCTTTTATCCAACTTGGCACATGCCAACAGTTTGGATCTTAATTTTGCTCATGGTGTGTCTAGGCACAAAATAACAGTTGCACCATCTTACTACTAAAACGATCACCTCATGGTCATAAATACTCTCTTTAAAGAGCTTCAGGACTAAATAATATGTGTTTTACATCACAGTCCAAAGCAGGAATATTTATCAAGTGTGTATGAAAAAATGCCCAAGCCAGAACTAACCTATTATGGTATAACCTGCAAACACTCCTACATGGTTGGCTGTGCTACTACGTGCTTGTGTTGTACAAAAGAGTCAACCAGTGTGGAATAGCGGTTTCTAGCAACAAAGGGCTAATATTTATTGATGAGTAACACCTAGTCAACTGAAGATGAGAATCCAGTCATGTCAGCACATCAGTATTTAAGGTTCTACGAAATTTCAAGGGATAAAACTTTGGAAGGTCTTCTGACTGCCTTCTAGGATGGTATCATGACGCTAGTGGTATATTTTCTTTTTTACCAACAAATGTTTCTTCACTAAGTCCAAACTGTATTATTGAGTCACTTTATCTGTCAAATAACAAGCAACTGCCAGGAGCTTCCAAGGAAGCCTGTAAATTTATACATGTCTCTTCTGTGTTTTTTTCTTTCTGGCACACCTCCATCGTGACCTATGACTTCCTATATAAGGCACATTTAAGTTGTTTTCTCTCAAATTTTGCCCTTACGGTTATACTTGGAGAGGTACCAACAAAAACGCCACACCAAGATAATTAAACACGTGGTAAAATAGCACTGAGATCCGGTATGAAAGTTTGCTGACCAGTCAAATGCTTTCAAAATGCTTATGGTTTAAAAGTAGCCTTAGTGAATATTTTAAAAACTCTGTAATTTAAAACAAGGTAATAAGCTGTATTTACACTACATGACCTGTCTATTTGATCAGATACAGCATTCACACCACACTTAATTTTAGTAGGAGATGAGCACCTAACTAAGGTTCTGTTTACAACATTTGCCCAAAACATTTCCATCTTCCACCTGTAGGAAAGCAGAAAAATTAGGAGATAAGAGAACAATTCACTGGGAACTGTATTTAAAGGAGTTTCCAGGTGAGATAAAATATCGTGAACAATGACAGCGAAGTGTTGCTACCAGACAACATGCACACGTGTGCTATGGAAGGACAGACAGCAAACAAAGGCAACACTTTAATCAAGATTTTAAAAAAAACCAAAAAACCGCCAAAGAACAGAAAAGCAGGATTTCTTCACTGAACACCAAGTATTCCATCTGTCAGCTAAAGATTTTTTTTTCTTACTGTTAGATAAGTTACTTAAGAAAAGCTTGCTTCACCTTTTTTTGTAACATGCAACGTTTGTCTGACTTGCTGTAAAGGGCAAGTACGTACTGCAAGCTCGCTGTGTCCCCTCCCTGAGCAAAAGCATAAAGCGGCCTCAGTTTAATCTGTTACCTAAAGCACACGATCGTCATTATGGTTCTCAATGACAGCAACAAGTTTAGCATTCCTACACTCCTAAATAAACTAATTTAGCTCAGCCTTCAAGTCACTCAAGGCATTTTTCTCGAGTGCATCTAGTAAATACTAGCTAGCTAGGTCAAATTTTGCTCTAACATATGCAACCTACATCAGCCACCCAACTGCCTCTACGTTGAATGTTTCAAAATTAATGTGATTTTAAAGCATTTGATTTTATGTTGTATTTATGCGAATCACAACAAGAAATTTCTAAATAACAAAAAAAAATATTTGAAGCTTATTAAATTTTCAAGTGCAACTTATGTTATAAACTACTGACCAGAGCTTTTTCCCCCCAATGTCCAGCTGAATTTCCTACTTGAAACTTTCCAGTAAAGACACAGAAGGGAATGTATAAAATGCTACACAAGTATTTAACCATAATTCTGTCCTGAATGCAGCATATATTAAATGACTAAAATACAACTGTTACAATACCTAGCGGGAAGGAAGCAATTCAAATTTGCTTTCGGATTTCAGACTAATTCAGTTGCTCTTTGCAATACTCAAGTCTAAAAATTTTAGAGATTTAATAGCAAAGAAAAAATTACTTTTTACAGCCGGGTACACCCACAATGATACTAATTAGGGAGGTTCCCAAATTGTGTGTGTCATATGGTACAAAGCTCTGTCAGACGAAGGGTAGAAATGAGGAATCATACCCTTTCCTACACTAACCTCTCCCCACATCAACCTGCTTCTCTTGTTATTACTGGGTTTGAAGTTTGGGGTTAAAAAAAATACTTACAGTTTCGTAGGCAGATAACTTGGTGAATCATCTTTACTCCGAATGAGTTCATTGCATTTGTCAATTGTTTGGTAAACAGAAAAAGTGTCTCCAGTGCTATAAAGTACAGCTAAATTCTTGGCAACCAGCCGCCTGGTAGGAGGTCCTGGTGAACTGGTTAATAAAGAAGTCAACTGTTCAACCAGTTTCTTCTGATTTTCCCTTATATCAGCCTGGAAATAAAATCAGTAACCAGTTAAATTTCAGTTAAATTTAAAAGTTAAACTAATGTTAATTATCTTTTACTTACCGTTATTCTGATAATTTGACATTCTTAATTAAAAATAAATATGTTATTACGCCTTTCTACTTAAGGAAAAGCCATCTCAAGTATGTGATTATTTTACTATTCTTTAAAAATTTTTTTTTAAAAATCACATTTTTCAGAGTATAATGTTTTCTAGTAACCTTTGAAGAGATTTTGCCTGTGGCATTTGTATAGTTACATCTTGCTATAATAAAACTGCCTTTTCTTGCTTCTTTTATGCCTGCTTTAAAATAAAATAATTCACAAAAATACAGTAATTCAAGCAGTAAAGAAGAACTTTAGCAGAGTTTGAAGAAGTTGAGCATCTGAAAGGAAATGCTCCTTTAAAAGAAGAAAAAGAGCCTGGCACTGTATTTCATTTACATAATTTAACACAAATAACGTAATACTTAAACAGCCATTATCTAGTTTGGTTAATTGTTAGATATCCACATACCATCCTTAATATACACTAACCATGAACCAAACAATTGGCAAGTTGGCTGGAAACGTCTTTTATCATTTGATTAGGAAAATAAAAACAAAAAAAAAATGTTACGTTTTTGCTTGCTAGAGAACTACCAAATAATTATGTCATGCTAGATGGAAGCATTGGAAGCATGTCATTCCTCACCATAAAGGTGCAAAATCTTGCAGTAATAATCTGAGTGAAAAAAGAGTAATTTAAAATTCCTGTGACCAAAAACTTGCAACATTTAGAAAGCTGCTGCTAACACGGAGCATAATTTCACTGCATGTACATAAAAAGACATGAAGCAAATTAACTTGAATACTGCTTTTTGGTTTTAAACAAAGTAACAAAAAAGACAGAGAGAGATACTTCTGTAACATGCTTTTCTTCTCAAGTCTCAGTATACTTACTCTGCTAGTCGCTGGTAAAAGTTTTTCCAAAAACTGTAACCATTCGAAAATGAATTCTGCTTTTTGAAATTCACCAAGCTGGTTACATGCTTCTTCATTAAGTAGTAAACTGTGAGCTAACTCCATTCCTTGGAACTTTCTTCAAATCTTTCCTCAAACACCACAGAATAAAAAGAAAACTCAACCAGCTACCAGATTAGTAAAGGTTTCTTCCTCATTAATATCTGGCGACTGAATCAGAAGTTTGAACAGCTAGACAGAAAAAGAAAAAGAAATTACTAAAGATCCAGCAGTCATATTAGACAGAAAAAGAAATCACTGGAGAATTGGCAGTCATATCATACTCATACTGGCTTATTAAAACTAAATTTTCAAAGGAAAACTTGAAATAAAATTACAGTCATTTTATTTAGGTGGCTTTAATAAAACTTAAAAATTTTTGGAAACGAAATAATGACATTCATGTAATATGTCAATTAATGTTAATATACTTCAGAATAGATCAAAGGGGTTCTCTATTTTTTCTTCATCCTCATGAAGTGGGGTTTTCTAGTACCTCATCACACATGTACTGGACAGCAATGACCAACTGTCCCCGAAAATAAAGGCTTTTGCTACCTAGAACTACGTGCAGCAACAACTCATGTTAATTATAGCCATAAATATAAATGCTAACATATTATTCAAACACTGCATGTATTCTCAATGCCAAGCAAGGGGTAAAGAAAAAACAGAATTTCATTGCTGAAGCCATCTCTAACATTGTCTTTCTTCAAAGAAAACAATATCCCAAATTTGAAAAAAGAACATTTCAAAAACTGACAGTTCAAAAGAAGTTCTCTTTTACTTACATCCCTCAGACTATTTTAGGATTTCCACACTGTCAATAAACATAACTAGAAGCAAACTGAGATGAAAAATATTTCTAATAGTAACTTTCCTTCCCCCCAGCCCTTTTAAATGCCCCCCAGCCCTTTTAAATAGCCTCAAACTAGGGAATATAATAAGCTGTAGGCTTCGCAAACAAAAGCCATCACATAAATTCTGGTAAAATGTCAACCATATTTTAAACTCCCAAACAAATTATCCTTTACAGAGGTCACTGAGAGTGCTGAACATGTATTTTTTCTTATGCAGTAACACCACCATAGTGTAAAATGATCCATGAAACAGTAAATGGGCAGTACAAAGCAATGGTAAATAATTCAGTACTCGGGTTGTCATCAAATGCACAGCAGAAGGTTACCTTTACTACTTTCTACTTTCTTTCCTTTCATTTTTATATAAAATTTACTCACAAAGGAAATTAGTCACGTCTAATTTGCTATAATGAACCGTCACTTCAAATTTACCTAAAATACCAGGCAGCCTGACAAGGCGCCACACTAGAAAATGACAAGCAGAGATAAATATACGTAGTTCATTATACCCACACATATTTTATCTGCCTAGGTGCATAGATGCTCACAACTTACCAGTTATCTCACTCTTAGGACACTCATAGAACTTAACTCTACCCTGACATTTTCTGCAACATACACAAAAAAGTCAGATGAACTATTTCATTGAACATTTGAGTAGAGTTTCATCACTGCTCAGCACAGAAATTACATGCACATGTCACAAACTCTTTTTTTCCTCACCCAAGGCCTGTCCCTACCTGCTGTCCCTGTCTACGAATCACCTGCTGCCACAGCAACTTATTTAAATTACAAACCCACCTGAGGATTACAACTCATAGTTGTTTTCCCCAACTGAAAAGATCACAGATTGTTGCCGGACATTGGCACTTCACTTACCTAGCAGGTAATTTCATCTCATTTTAAAAAACATCACTCAGCTGCTCCAGGTTCTTGGATAAAGGATGTTAAGAACTCGATTTCCTAGAAAAAGATTTAACACTAAGCTCAACTTAGGAAAGTACATGAGATACAAGTGTCTGTTCTACAGAAAAGAAAAATTCCAAAGTCTTGCAATACTGACAATTTTTATGAAATAATAGCTCACTGAAGACACACTTGACTGAAGCTCCACAAACAGCATTGGCTCTTGATATGTTACATTATCAATTTGTTCCCCTAGCTCCAGAATATATAATTTTAATATTAGAATCAGGAGGCAAAAACATTCCCTTTTAAACCTCATACAACTTGAATTTAGTCTGGCAGGACATGAAATACAGATTGCATGCTATTATTTTAAAATAAGTAATCACTTTCCAAACAGTCTTTAAAAGACTGAAGTTGAAAACAAATCAAAAGCACACGCAGATCACAAAGTAATCTGAATTTTTTTCAGCCTGTTGAACCAGCACTCAGCCGCTCAAGAGAAGGTTCAAGGGGACCTAACCGCAGCCTTCACATGGGAGGGTTACTAAGAAGATGAAGACAGGTTCTTTAGTGAGATGTATGGGCAGAAATACTACAAGTGCCATAAACTAAAACAAGAATGGTTCCAACTGGATAGAAGAAAAAAAGATTTTCACCGTGAGGATTACCAGTCACTGGGATAGGTGCTGAGAGGTTGCAGAACCTCCACCCTCAGGGCTTTCTGTGATTTGACCGCGACAAAGTTCTATACAACCCCATGGGAAAAAATCACCTAGATTTTTATGATGTAATTGCCAATTTTTATATTGAACAACTGCTAATGTGGCTAGAAATGGTAACATCTCTCAAAGGAAAGATTATCAGCTCTGAATTACAGATGTTGATTGTTTATTAGGCAAGATTTACTTTTGTATAAAACTGAGAACTGCCCATGCAGCAAAAAAATAAGACCAGATCTCTCCAGTGCTGGTCAAGAAGCAAACCTTGGTTCCATGAAGTTACATCCAAAGCAATATATTCTCCACCCTATTAAAAACCCCCAACTTATCCCATACACTTTCTGGGACTCCCTTTAATGACCTGTAAGCTTGCACACCAGGAATACCTGTGAAGCTTCAAAAATAACGATAAGAGAAGGGCACAGGCATACAAACTTGTGAGAAGAAAGGCGAGAATGTTGGGAATCAAGTTTTTATTGCAGCAGAGTGGTTCTGCAGTCAGAACAACGCAAAAGGCACCGTGCTGACAAGGCTACGCAACACAGAACCCAAGTACAAGCTGCATTTGTTTCATGTCCTTGTTATGTATACAAGATGTCACCAAGCAGTTTCTAAGTGCAGGAGGAAACGTCAAACCTAAATACATACTGTCCAGACACGGGTGCAACTCGTGCATGGCACAGCTACGTGGTGGGCAAGGCAAGAACATCAGGCCAGCCCTTGTGGGCATTACAGTTTCTTGACCATCGTTGTGCACTAGTAAACTGATGCAAGCACAAACTGATGCAAGCATGTAGAAGATGCATGTACAGTTACATGAAACCCGTATTTGAACTACTTGAGAGTCCCTTTCCCCTGGTGTTTTATAATTTTGATCCTTCTCAGTCTGAAGAAGAAATCTGGAAGAATAAATGTGAAATTTAACCAAATGAAACACATACAATGCCACCAACAAAAATGAAAACACATACATGGCTGATGCACAATTCTTTAATTTTATCTTTAGACAACTGAAGTAATTACAACATTTACTTTCCCATCAGTGCTACAGGAGGAGATCAGTCAAAAATCCCTCTTTTTACCTATCAAGTTCATTTTACATGTATGCTACGCTACAAAACTGTCACAAAGATTTATTGGAGAAGGGAGAAGTTGTTCCTACTTATTACTGATGAAAAATTTTTCATTTCCCAACTGCCAATTTGGCAAGCAGGATTGTCCAAGACTGATTAGGAAAGAGCTCAGAAAAGCTCTTAGAACAAGCACTACATGGAACGCTGCCCTAAAATGAAAGGAGTATCAGGTGAATCGACCATTAAAAGGCAACAGCAATTGAGTTTCTAAAGTTCCTGACAAACCACAATAAGAAAAAAGGGACTTGCAGTTATCTTTTTTTTTCTTCAAAAAAAGTGACCGAACCAGCTGCCTTTAGCAAGTGGCTTTAAAATATGAGAACGAGCAGATCACCCACGACAAAGTTATAACAGAGCCCAAAAACCCTGAACAGATCTATTATATGAATCAAGTTTGTTCTGAGGTAGGTAATCTCCTTAGGCTTTAAAAGCTGAAGGAAGCAGTCCACAGACTATTGCATTTCTTTCACATCAAAGTCTTAAGACAAAAATTAATACACAAGTGAAAAGCTATGAGCAATAGTGGCAACTTAATGAATTTTATTTTCCCCTTCTTTCCACCCTATGGCAAAAAAGTGTAAAAAAAGAAAAAGAAAGTAATCTGTAATAAAAAGCAGGCACTTTATGCTAAACCGATCTCCCACTAAAAAACTTAAGCCTTTAAATTATGACTCATTATATCAAGGATGATCAGCACAGGCAATGAAAACCACCACACAGATTACATATGTACTTACAAATTAATTTTCTTTTAAGATTTTTCACATTTTATCTCTCATTGCTCCAGCAGTTTGTTTCTCTTTGCCAGGAACAAGTGCTGCTCAAAGAGAAATCAGATCCATCTTAGCTCTCTGAGCATGATACTCAGATGAGGATCTAGAATACAATCTAGAAGAAGATCTAGGTCCTTTACATCTACTACACAGTGAAGAAAATAGATTTTTTTAACTTATCACAATATTTATTATCTACATTTTTCTAATTTCACAAGTACTAAAACAATTCTGCGTTAAATCTGACACAAAACATAAAGGTAATAATAACCACTGGGTTCAATTTTGTACCCAAGACTAGTCTAGCAGAGAAGTAAAAAGGCCATCATGCTTCAGAGAAATGTTCCCTGTTACTCATTGCCAGTAATGAGTAATAATAAGAAGATTAAAAAACTACCAGTGATAAATACCCATGTGTTCATAACTGGCATTGGGCTGACTACACAATCAACGGCATAAGCACCACACTCCTGAAAAAGAGATGAAACATGTTCATTAGCTTCAAGTTTTCCTTCACGGCACTTCACTGGTGCTCTACTGACTTTAAATTCATGGGGTTTTTTTCCTCTCAGAAAGCAAGATTTATTCTCATCTATCTAACAAGTGAACCAGTACATTCAAGAGAAAGCCTTCCAGCCCGACACATTTAGTTCTAGTCAGGAACAGTCAAGA